CGTGCCAGCATCTCTACACGCAGCTGCGGGACGGGGGCCGGTCTTCGTGTGCACGTCACCCTCAAGGGCAAACCCCAGGCTGGGCGGGCGCTGCACCCCCACGTCCTGTGTCCCCGCCCTCCGTGTGCTGGGCCACCCGCCGTCTCCGTGGCTGGGTCTGCGTTCCGAGGCCAGGATGCCAGGCCCCTCTCCACAGGCCCCGGGTCCGCGTGCACTTTCTCTGAAGAAGATGCGGGTCAGCCCGTTGCCAAACGGCTCCTTGGGCAGCGTCTCTCCGAGTCGCCCTGCTGTGTTCTGGGCGCGCGTCACGGACGTGACTTGCAAAAACGTTCTATTTCACGGGCTGGTTCACATCTTTCTTTTTGATTTGAGAGAGGGAAGCATCGACCTGCTGCCCACTCGTGCGTCCCGCGTGCTCACTGGTGACTCGTACGTGCCCTGCGTGGGGCCAAACCCACAGCCCTGGGGCCTCCGGACGCCCTGACGCTGAGCCGCCGGCCGGTGCGGGTTTCTCTGGTCTCACCCGAGAGGCCGCGGCCGACGTGCTCCCAGCAGGAGTCTCATCGTTTTGGCCCCTACACTCAGGTCTCCCATCCACCTGCGTTGGCTTCAGTGCAGGTGTGGGGGCGCCAGCATGGGGGGGCAGGCGTGGGGGCACATGGACGTCCAGCTGCCTAGTCCTTGAGCTCTGAGAGGTGTTCCCCCAAATGGCCCTAGGGAATCAGCACCCCGAACGGGACCTGCTCTGAACTCCAACCTGTGCTCCCTGACGCCCCGCAGCCTGGCCCCCAGCCCCAGCCCCGAGGCAGCTCCCTGATTCTCAGCCCTGAGGATGGGCATGAGGTCAGAGGGCATGAGTCCTCTGACTGCTTCCCCCAGGGCTGCGTTTGCTCTGGGCCCGGGGTCTCCAGGGGAGTCTGAGGACAGCTGGTCCACTCCTGCGAAGAGGCCACTGGGGTGTGACCGACAGGGTGGCCGGCGGGCTGTGGGCAGACTACCCGGGGCTGGGCCCTGTGACGGCCACAGGGACCGGGGCTCAGACACGTACGCCCGCCCCTAGGTCTGGTCCTTGAGTGAAAATTCAAGAAACAAAGCAGGGGGTCTCCTTGGGCCTCGGCTGCAGCCTGAGGGCCCCCCCCTCTGCCCCCGCAGGCAAAGCGCTGAGGTGTGACCAGTGGGGAGAGGGGCAGGGCGATGGGCGGAGGGGGAGGGGGCTCGCTCACCTCCTCGGACACCTTGAACCGGCGCAGCAGCGCCACGACTTTCTGCTTGAAGTTCTGTTGCTGCGAGAGGACAGCAGACTCAGACGCGTGGGCCGGGCGGGCACGCCCCCGAGCGAGGCTCACACCCACGCCCTCT